GCTAGGATTATAAGCATGAGCCACCAGTGCCTGGATCACCCTCCTAGACTTTTTCTTCCCCCATCTCTAGACATGGTAGTCTTACCAGGAGTCAATACCCTGAAAAACAGACTTTTCCCAAGTCTTGATCTGGTCTATCTGGAGAGGCACAGCCCCATTTGAGGGGTGACATGCTATAACTTAGTCAGGATGTGGCTTTTCCAGACAGTCACTATGTGTCAAAGATGGTGGTGGAAAGACAGGGTTAGAAGACCCAGCTATTACTGCTCTTGAGACAGAGCTGCCCTCTCCGGCTGTTACCTTCTATTCTCCCTCAGAGGTAAAGAGCTCTTGTACAAATGTGTTATCACTGTTTTCTTGGACTGTCTCTGCTGTTACTGAGGCAGGTGGTCACAGTGAACCAGATGCTTGGGCAAATACTTCATGTCCCAGCAGCTGGTCTGCTTTGTGTCCAGGCCTATGTCATCCACATCAAAGGCCATCCAAAGTTGGACTGTCTGACAAATTCAACTACGGTTTAAGGGAAAGGGAGCTGGTTTCGTTCAGTTCAGCCCTAGAGCAGGACCCCTCCTCCCTTCCCCATCCCCTCCATCCCCCCCCCACGCTCATGCAGCTAGTGCTGGGCCAGCTCTGAGAGGACAGGCACGCCACGCTAGGCCCTTCCCTGAGACCAAATTTTCATGGACACTGGCTTCCTCTTTGGGGGCTAGATCCAAGTTCAGAGACTCTCTGTTTTCTAAATTGAGCCAGGGAAAGATGATATGGGGATGGGGGAGGCAGTTAAAGGAATCTTTGCTCAGAACCTGGGTGCCACCTGCTGGCCATATTTAGTTCCAGGCATAGTGCCAAAATTCAAGAGGAAAATTAAAAGGGCTCCCCGCCTTCCTCCGCTTGGTGAGGGGCAAGGAAACAGGAAGGCTGATTTCTTCCTGGAGCCCAGGCACATGTAATGGAGGATTCTTGCCGACACCCCTGGATACTTTTGGCTGAGTCATCCTGAGCCAAGATGCCCCCAGCCAGGGCAGAAAGCAGCCCAAATGTGGGTTCTAGTGTTGACTGCCCACTCATCCAAAAGCTCCATGGAAATGGCAGCATGCTTAATTACTGGGTCCCAAGAAGAACCATTTTCTCAGTTTCCTTTTACCGTCACTGTTACTACTTACCCTGTCACAGGCAAGATGAGAGGTATGGAAAAATACCCTCCTATCATCAGGCACCACCGAATCGGGAGTGTCTAGGCAAGCTGAGAAGACCTGAACATTTTAAAGTGGCCATGTAGTTCTTGATGACTTCTGACAGGAAGGTCTTCAATTGTATTTTAAATTCTAGGGAAAGTGGAGAATTTTTCTTGGTACCAAGAAGAAGAGGGGGATTGGATGTGGTAGTAGATACCTGTAATCTCAGCTACTCAGTATAAGACCGTACCTAAAAAACAAACTAAAACAAAAGGCTTGGAATGTGGATCCAGTAGTAGAGTCCTTGCCTGGCAAGTATGAAGTCCTAAGTACAATCCATTTTCCCTGCTAGTTCCTTAGATGATGCCCCTGGAAGCTCAGAAACACCCTTTTAGCTCCAGTGTCTGCCCTTCCCTTCTGCCAACATGGTCAGACAGTTGCTCTTCACTAAAAATTGGTCAAAGATGACTTCAGGGGGATCTGTGCTCAGGTGACAGAGCAAGAGAGGTGTAGGACATGCATCCCACACAGGGTTCAGGGGAAGGTCCCTGGAGAGGATGCTGAAGCCAAGCCCTATGGGGTGGGAGCAGAGAAGATACTAAGAGGAGAAAATGTGAGATGTCATTCAGCCATCAGTGACTCTAGCTTTACTGAACACCTTGCCTATGACAGGGCCTGGGAGCCCAGGCACTTCCTGATAAGGAGGCAGGCAAAGAACCAAGTCTGAGGCTCAGTGCAAGGGTTGGAATGTAGGACGGCAGGCTCAAAGCCACTGTGCAAGTCAAAATTACCCTGGAAAACCTCTGAAACTGCCAGTTTCTAAGTCTTCAGAAGCTCCCAAGATAATCATTTTTGTTTTTCTTGGCTTTTGATCCCTGCCTGGGATTCCAGGCAGTAAAGGATAAGGCTGATTTTTTAAATGGATGAAGAACTAGAAACAAATTTTTAACGCGTATTTGTTTTGCTAAAGGCTGGCAGTCTTGAATTTTCTTTGTTGTTGTTTTGTGCCAGTCCTGGGTCTCAAGGCTGGTATTCTACCGCTTGAGCCACAGCTTCACTTCTCCACTTTTTGCCGGTTAATTGAAGGAAGGAGCTTCTCAGTTTGTCAAACCAAGATCAAACCAAGACTCTCGAGTCTCAGTCTCCTGAGTAGTGAGGATTATAAGCATAAGCCACTGACACCTGGTAATAACAGGATTTCTCTCTCACAATTCTTATTGTAAGAAAAAGTTCTTTTTTTTTTTTTGGTCCGGTCGTGGGGCCTGAACTCTGGGCCTGGACGCTGCCCCTCAGCTCTTCTGCTCAAGGCTAGCGCTGTACCACTTGAGCCACAGTGCCAGTTCCAGCTTTTTTCTTTTTGCTTATGTGGTGCTGAGGAATCGAACCCAGGGCCTCAGGCATGCAAGGCAAGCGCTCTACCACTGAGCCACCTTCCCAGCCCGAAAAAGTTCTTTTAAGGGCTTAAGCATGGCTCAGGTAGAGCACCCGCCTAGCCAAGTGCAACCCCCTGTACTCCAAGACCCTAGTACTGAAAAAAAAAAGTTCACGATAGAGGCATGAGAGGAGCCAACCCAGCACATGGTGAGCTGAGTTTCCTCTCTAAATCAGTGCAGTCCACCCCTGCCTGGGTACAGACCCTGTAGGCATCTTGGTCAAAGGCAGATCCTGATTCAGCAGGTCTGCAGTAGGTATGAGAATAAAATATCTCACAAGCTGACTCCCATACTACACCAGTGCTGCGGGTCCGGTGGTATTTGTGAATCTCTGAAGCAGTGAAGGAATCAACTTGGGGTGGCAGCAACTTTCCAGACAGGGCAAATGGGGAGCTCTAGCCTCTAACTGGAAGAAAAAGTGGGCAATAAGGCTAGAGGTATGGGCTCTGTTTAGAATTGGATATGTGTTGGGGGAGGGTGGCATTTAGAGCCAGCTGCTGCCAGGTGCTGGTGGCCCACGCCTGTAATCATAGCTACTCAGGAGGCTAGATCTGAGGATTGTACTTTAAAGCCAGCCCAGGAAGGAAAATCCATGACTCTTATCTCCAATTAACCACTCAAAAGCTAGAAGTAAAACTGTGGCTGAAGTGGTAGAGCACTAGTCTTGTTCACAAAAGCTCAGGAACAGCAGCCATGCCCTGAGTTCAAGCCCCAGGATTTGTGGCGGGGCAGGGGAGAGTGTCAGTTGCTTATAGGGGACCAGAAAGAGTGTGGGGCATGTTTTCACTTCACAAAACACTGCAGATTAAGCCTGGGGAGATATTCTTCGCTCTAGAAGTAGGAGCTCCACAATTCTGGGAATACATAGTCCCTTTGCTGTCTGTTTTCTCCATTTCTGATGAAGATCAAGTCACCGAAATCACTTGCTCTTCTCTAACAGTGACAAGCAACAGCGAACAGCTGGCCTCTGTGTGAGTTGGTGGATGGGGTGGGCAGCAGCCATGCCTGCCGGTCAGAGGGGAGCATCTCTGCTCAGTGCCAGCTGTTGTGTGACTACAGGAACGTAGGCCCCCAAAGATGCCAGAAATCCCAAAGGGTGAAGTTTCCCAACTTCAAATTTTTGGACACCAAGTCAAAAATGTTTCCAACCCTGTGAGTGCTAAGACTGCTAGGCAAATTCGGCCACAGATGCCTTGTTTATGACTGCGGGCTTGAAGCTGGAGCACAAGTGGCTGGACCTGCTGTTAGATAGATTCTGACCACAGCAGTGTTGGGATACACAGGGGAGGGAAGGGACTGCAGGCCAAAAGGGCTTGGGAAAGGTTTTTTGTGGCTCTGGCTACAGAAAAAGTATCTAGGAGCCCCCAAGTAAATGAAAAGCCTCGCATACTGAGGAAGGAGGGTTGAGGCGCACAGGGGCTCAGATGATGCCCTAAAGTGAGTTTTTAGCTCACTTAGGGGCTGTTGGGGCATTTGATGCAAAAATAAATACGGAAGCTGAACCGTATTTTGTGAGAAGGTTCTGGACAAATGAAATTTCGTTGTCTTTGGGTCAGCCAGGAGGCCAACAGGCCACAAAAATGGGGAATCTGAAGTCAGAGGAGAGGCAGAAGTGTTAGCTGGCTTCCTTGAACATAAATCTGGTTAGGTTATACTATCTGCTTAAAACCTCCATGGCTTCCCTTTGACTAAATAGAAATTCCAGGCTCCTCTTCGTGGTAAACAAAACCCTCCCAGGTCTGTGCCTGCCAACCTCATCACACTATGCCCCAAAACGGAAATATGATGCTCAGAATTCCCCAACAACCCAGAGTTCTCGGAATAAGCCATCCTTTGCTCTTGCTAGTCCTTCAGCCTGCAGTGCCCTTCTACCCCATCCTTTTATGTGTCTGGAAAATTCCTATTCTTGTTAAGCTCCAACATCTCTGCTCTAATGCCTTCACGGAGCCTGCCAAACCGAAGAGCTCACACCCTTGTTTGTGCCATCCTTGAATTTTTATGTGCTTTTATGTCCATCCTTCCCTACTGAGTGGATTTGCCTGTCTGAACTCCTTAATGTCAGGGACCATACTAGTTACCCTTGTATCACCTGCTCCTCACACGTGCCAGGTGCTTAAATGTTTTAAAAATGGAGTCGTTGGGACGTGGTAGCACTTGCAAGGCTGAAAGATAGTCAAGAGTTCAAAACTAGCCTCTTATAGTGAATTCTAGGCTAATTTGAGATTCTATTTTTAAAAAATGAAATAAATGGTGAATGAATGAATGAATGAATATGCCCCCCTTTTGTAGCAAGGTAACCAAGAAGTAGGGCTCCAGGCCTCACTGGCTCCTCTCCTAGCAGCTGGAAAACCCCATGAGGCCCTGTCTGACCTCGCCTCTCCTCTCTTTGCAGCTGGGGTATGGCCGTCAATGTGTACTCCACATCTGTGACCAGTGAAAATCTGAGTCGCCATGATATGCTTGCGTGGGTCAATGACTCCCTGCACCTCAACTACACCAAGATAGAACAGCTCTGTTCAGGTAGGAGGCTGGGATTGGGAGTGGCCCTGTTGGAGGGAAAGGGAGAGTAGGAAGGCAGAATAGCACAGCAGGCTTGTAGCTTGTGATTAGCATAAAGAGAGAGCTCTGGAGGCCCACCCTACTCGCTCACCCAGCTCTTTTGCTGCTGCAGCCTTGGGCAAGTTACTACAGCTCTCTAGGTCTCAGATTTCTGTCTACATAGTGAGATACTATCACCTGTCTAGCTAAGTGGCCAATAGGCTTCACCTACATATAGTGTTGATGATGATAATACGAGATATGCATCAATAAGTAGCCATTGTGGGCCAGGATGCCCGCTTAGCACCCGCCTAGCACCACCCAAGAATAAGTAAGTAAATGGACAGTAACAATTGCATTTATTCCTGGAAGACTGGGGGGAACCTTTCTAAACTGGAGTATTAGCCCCAGCCTTTGGACAGAGAGGGAAAAGAGGGGCCCAGGATTGTTAGGACAAGACAACAGAGGACTGAAGTAGTAGAAGATGACCTCCACCATTCTTCTCTGTAGGGGCAGCCTACTGCCAGTTCATGGACATGCTCTTCCCTGGCTGTGTGCATTTGAGGAAGGTCAAGTTCCAAGCCAAACTAGAACATGAATACATCCACAACTTCAAGGTGCTGCAAGCAGCTTTCAAGAAGATGGGTGTTGACAAAGTAGGTGTCTGTTCCCCCAGGGGTCTCTGAGGAGCTGTGTGCCCCTGGGGAAGAAGATGGCCCACCAGCCAGGGTGACAAGGGCTGCTTGGGTCATTTCAACATGCAACTCTCTACCCCCTGACTCTCCACAGTTGAAGGCACAGTGGAAAACACTCCAGCACCTGACATCACGCCATGATGACTTTCCTTTCCCTTTCTCCTCTATGGACCCCAACCCCAGATATCAAGGCTCTGTGTATTCTGCTCTGTTATATCTCTCCATAGGGTTCAAGAAAAGTCTCTTTGCTCACCCATGCCTTGACTACCCCAGGACTGTGGGCTACCTCCCTACAAAATTCTTCCTATAGGAAAGGGAGGCCTCTGGGTCCCTGGTCAGACCTCCGGCCTACCTATCTGCTTGTGGTGCCATGGGAGAGGGAGAGGGGGTGGAAAAGATGGATAGCCTTGGGGCTGGCTTTCCTGAGAGCTGGGCCTGCTCACCCAGGAAGCCAGCCCCACACCACAGGTGGTTAAAATGTTCTGCTTATGTGGTCTATTTCAGATCATTCCTGTAGAGAAATTAGTGAAAGGAAAATTCCAAGATAATTTTGAGTTTATTCAGTGGTTTAAGAAATTCTTTGACGCAAACTATGATGGGAAGGATTACAACCCTCTGCTGGCGCGGCAGGGCCAGGACGCAGCGCCGCCTCCTAACCCAGGTGATCAGATCTTCAACAAATCCAAGAAACTCATTGGCACAGCAGGTAATGTGCCCGAGCTGGGGGAGGGAGTTTGGGGGGCCGGGCCGGCAGAGCTTCATAGCCAGGAGTGCCCCCCTGGGCTACCGGCCCGGCCCTGCCAGCCTGGAGGAGACTGTTATCACGGAGTTCAGATGACGTCGCCTGCTGCCCACTTAGATGAGGGAGTCCCAGAAGGGGATGAGAGGGCTTCAAAAATTGCTCTGAAAGGAGAGCCACCTGCACCCATGGTGGCAGCCGACCGTAAGAGCCCAGGGCACTCTGTTTCTGAGGGTGTGCTGACATGTTTGCTTCAAGATCATGAGGCAGCAAGCTGGCATGATTCCTCCTCCAAGTCCATCAGGCCAAGGGCCTGGTGCCAGCACCACAGCCCTTGCTCACCCCTGCCCTCTGGAAGCAGGAGTTTACGAAGCTTGATCCTATCTGCCCCTTCCCAAAGCCCCGTAGCCCAAAGTCCCCGAGAGATGACTTTCTAGAAATCACTTTGTTGGCGTGCTAGAGGGTGTGGGGGAAATGTGGCAGAGCTTTGGGTAACAAGGCTGGAAAGGGAAAGAGAAGAAAAGCAGCTCCAGCCCGCATCTGACCCGTCATAGCAGAACTGCCTCCTCTGTTTGCGCTGCTGTTCCGCCTGGGCCTGTCCTCACCGACCGCTTGCTTTGCATTAGAAGCAGCTGTGCTGTCTAGCAAGTGCAGCAATAGAGAGCGAGTTGCCACAGCATGTGGGCTGTGCTGAGGAGGAGCCGGTGGCCACCATTGCTCAGATACCCATGTAGCCCAGCAGAGGGCGACAGAGCCCCTCCTAAGATAGGCCCCCGGGGGGCTGGCGGGGGGGGGGGGGGGGGGGGGGGGGGGGGGGGGGGGGGGTCACTGAGAGTGGCTTTGGACCTGGGCTTTTCTGTAAGGGGAAACCTTGGGCCAGCTCCTTTCCCTCAGGTTCTGGCCATAAGTATAAGAGAGCCCTGACCCCTTCCAAACCCTACTTTCCCAAATCTGCCATCCCAGTGTCTCGCATCGCAGTGTGCCTGCCCCAGGCCAGCTTGCCTTGCCCCCCAGCCCCTCACCCTTCCTTTACTTTCTAGTGGCCCCTGTGCTCCCAGGCTTGCCAAAGGCTGCCCAGTTGCTGTAATATTGTATGTGGCTAAGGCTTGAGGCCTAGATGTAGATGACCTTCCCCAGGGGGAGTGCCTGCCTATCGCATGGGCCTGCACCCCCACCCCCACCCCCAGTCCTCACACCAGGCTGACTCCTGCTATGGCTTCACCTGACTCTTCTCCTCTGGGCAGTTCCACAGAGGACGTCCCCCACAGGCCCCAAGAACATGCAGACCTCTGGCCGACTGAGCAATGTGGCCCCACCCTGTATCCTCCGGAAGAATCCCCCATCAGCACGAAATGGCGGCCATGAGACGGATGCCCAGATTCTTGAACTCAATCAGCAGGTGAGTGGGTTGGTTAAAAGTAGCTGAGATCTTCCGGGCATAAAGGCTAGGCCCTACGGAGTGACCAGGGATAAGAGGCAGGCAGGCAGGCAGGCAGGCAGGCAGAGGAGGCGCGGGACAGCTGCTTTAAACACTGCCTTCTGCCTGAGCAGCTCCTGGATTTGAAGCTGACAGTGGATGGGCTGGAGAAGGAACGTGACTTCTACTTCAGCAAGCTTCGTGACATTGAGCTCATCTGCCAAGAACATGAAAGTGAAAACAGCCCTGTTATCTCGGGCATCATTGGCATTCTCTATGCCACTGAGGTGAGCCTCCCCATCCCACCCCAAGCCTGCTGGCTCCTCCCAAACTTTGGCCCTGCATCAAGACCAGAAACACAGTAGGACTGGAGAGTTGGACTGGAGAATATTTACAGCTGATGACATCACCAGTACAGGGTACCATTCAGCTGTCTCCAGGAGGGTATTTCTTTGTGAGAGAGTGTTCGTCCTGGGGCTTAAACTAGTCCCTTAGCTTTAGTGCTCAAGGCTAGTGCTCTATCACTTGAGCCAGAGCTCTGCTTCAAGCTTGTCAGTGCTTTTAATTTGGAGATAAGAGTCCCAAAGACTTATCTGCCCCAGCCGGCTTTGAACCACAATGCTCAGATCTTAGCCTCCTGAGTAGCTAGGACTACAGGTGTGAGCCACTGGTGCCTGGCACCAGGAAGGTATTCAGAAAAAAAATCTCCCCAGCAGAAGAGAACACTCAACTCAGTTTTCCAAGCCCACCCACCAGGGTCTTGGGCTAATGACAAAAATTATTTTGAAATCATCCTCAAAGTAATGGCCAGCAGAATTTACTTAGTGCAGGAAGACACAGCAGGGAAAAAGAAAAGGAAAGAGCAGGCAGAAGATAGGAGCTAAGGCTCAGTGGGTGACCTTGGACTCTATTGTTTATGCTCCAAAGCTGGGCTTGGGTTTCAGTTCAAAACTGGCCGCCTAGCAATATGGTTACCTAATAATTTCCCCATTATCCTGTTTGGGTCATATTCACCCAAGCACGGAGATAATGGATCTGAGTAGCCCCTTACAATCAAAGCGTCTTGAGACACAGGTACTTGTTCATTGTGGTCTTTTTCGGGGGTGAAGGGGAGGGGGCGGTAATTCTTCCTGGCCACAGATGTATTTTTTTTTAAAAAGCCCTTTCTGCCTGAGACCCAGTTACTTACCTAAAGGCAGTGGATCTCATTTAACATCTAAGAGAGAAGAGAGGGTGGTAGAAGGAATTTAGGTCTGCTCCTTGTTAAATAGTTGACTCAGATCTTTGCTGTTCTGGTCATTTTTCAGTCTGAGTTTCTGGTTCTGTCACAACTCCTGAGTCTAGATATCATTTTTTGTTTTGTTTTGTTTTGTTTTTGCTCTGTCGTGGGGCTTGAACTCTAGGCCTGGGCTCTGTCCCTGAGCTTTTCAGCTCAAGGCCAGTGCTCTACCACTTGAGTCACAAGCCCTACTTCCAGTTTTCAGGTGGTTAATTGGAGATAAGAGTCTCACAGACTTTCCTGCTTGGGCTGGCTTTGAACCGTGATCCTCAGATCTCAGCCTCCTGAGTAGCAAGGATTACAGGCATGAGCCAATGGCACCAGGCTTTATTTGGGGGGAGGGTTGTTTGTTTGTTTGTTTAAATAATGTCTGTTTTCTAATTTCCCTGTCACCTTGCCTCACTACCCTGCCTTGCAGTATTAGCAGGGAAAGAAGGACTGGAACTCTGGGCTCCTGGGCACTTGGCCCTTGCTTCTAGGCCACCTATGGAAGCTGATACTCCCATCCTGGCCTTGGCCCACTCTTTCCCTCTCCTTCCCCTATCCAGGAGGGATTTGCACCCCCTGAGGATGATGAGATTGAAGAACAGCAACAGGAAGACCAGGACGAGTACTGAGGGCGGCTTGACTGCGCGGCTCCCCGTGCCTCCCCTCCCCATGCCACCCCCACATTATAATCCTTTCCTTACAGCCAGTTTGGCCTGCGGGTGCTTTGTGTCAGTGCCCCAGCATGGGGGAGCCGGGCAAGCAGGGCTTGGGAGGTTTGGGGCAGGTGAGCAAGCAGAGGCCCATCCAGGTCCTCCAAGTGGCACTGGCCCAGGGGGAAAGGACCCTTGCCCTCTCCCCGCCCCTATTTATTTCCGTTGTCTCTATGCTATGTCGGCCAACACTTCCCAGGGTGCTGCTGCCACCCGACAGCCAGCAGCTGTATATTTGACAAAGTCATTGGTATATTTTTACTTACTGGATTGTCCTTGCACTTTACCCGTTCTTTTCCAGGGCTGACAGCAGGGCTGGGGCAGCGTGCCTGGCTTGGCTCCCCTCTCCCCAGGGCCAAGGCCAGGGCAGGACTCAGTGATTCTTATTTATTTTGTCTTTTGACTTCCTACTAGTTGAGGGGAGGGCTGATGTCAGGAGAGGGAGAGGGGCTGAGGAGGCGGTGCTATGGGTGTGGGGGCCAGAGAGAAGGCGGGGAGCAAGGGACAGAAATGACCTCCTGGCACTAGGCTCACCCCCTACCCCAGCACCAAGGCCCCAGCACTGCCCCAAGGCCCCAACAGCTCCCTCCTGAAGCCTGATTTACACCACACAGATTCTGCCTGGCCCCCCACTGTCCGTCTGCCCCCATTGCCCACCTCCAACCCCTGCCCCTCAGGCACCAGCCTACATATGTGTCCACTTTTATTTAAATAAACTTGTGTGGTAAAAAGTCTATGGTATGTCTCCCTTGACTGAACCACAGCTGAGAGTCAGGGTTGGTCACTTCTGTCCTTTCCTGCTCCAGAAGGGATGGCTATACAGGAGAGCCTTGCCGCCATCAGAAGCCACCTATAGCACTGGACTTGCCTAGAGCTAACTCAACCCCGGTGACAAGAGTCTAAAGGAAGGCAAAGGAGCCCACTTCCTGAGGAGGAACGGAGTCAAGACCTGTGACGGGTCAGTGGCAGCCTGGAAAGTAGCTGTGGGGCTATGGAGTGCCTGGTGGAGAGTGCTCAGTTCCAGCACCTCTGGGCCAGTTGCACTGTATGATGATCCCCACCCACTGTCACAGCAGCATTGCAGCTGGGGACAAGGACTCACATGACAGACTGGGAGGGTTCAGAAAACAAGCAGCCATGAGCACTGAGGCCCAGAGGGCACAATCAATCTTTCTTTCTCTCTTTGTTGTTTTTTCTGTTTGTTTGTTTGGGGGGTTTTGGTCATAGGGCTTGAACTCTGGTCCTGGGTGCTGCTCTCTCTCTCTCTCTCTCTCTCTCCTGGCCTTGTGTACACCAGACATTCTACCAATGAGCTACACCTCATCCCCTGAGTGGTTGTTATCTAAGAACAAGTTCCAGTGGAAAAAGCAAGTCAGAAAAGCTGCCTCATCCACACAGCCCACATTCCCAGTGTTTCCTCCCGTTCTAGGCCACAGGCCCCAGCTCCAAGTATTCCACTTGCCAGGTCTAGCCCCTAGCTCCAGTAGGCCAAATATGCTGAGATGCATAGTGATAAAGAACAAGATAGGCATACCTCAGGAAGAGGCAAAGTAAGAATGCCAGCCCAGCTTTGGGCACAAACATAAGCTACAGATTCTAATCAAGTAAGAATTGAAGCAAGGTGAGAGGAATGCACAACTATTAAGCTGAACTAGTCACAGGTGGCCAGAGATTGGTCTGGTTTGTCACTTCAGGATGATCAGGTGGGGCCTGATTGCCATGAGAAAGTCACGGCTGCCTTGCAGGGGGTCAGCATAGACCTTGGTCACGAGGTGTTATCCATCAGTTCTGACCTTCCTGGGTTTCAAGGTGGCTGCAAGGTGACTCCAGAGGCAATGGCTCAGAGCAAGGACTGAGATCAAAATGGAGACAGGGAAGACAAGCTTTTCCTCCTACTTTCTGTGACCCTCTTAGAGGGCCATATCTGCAGGCCCAAGTGAGGAATGAGTGCTTTTAGGCAAAGGTGAGTCTAAGTACCTGCTAGATGCCGGAAAAGGGTCGAAGCAGCCAAGATCCTGGAAGCCTCATGGCTTGAAGTATGCTAAAGTAAATGTGAGCACATTGTGTCACCTAGATCAGCCTTCAGGGACTGATGAGAGGGATGTGACTCGCTTAGGGTGGTAGAAATCTGAACTAGAATTCAGACCTCTTGACTTCTGATTCACTACTCACCAGAAACCACAGAGATAGGACCTCCAGAGTTCCTCTAGCTTTAGGCTATCCCTCTCAGAAGTCTCCTTACCATCCTGGATCTGACCAAGATGGAGTTGTAACTGTCTCTTCTTTGGCCTGCCCAAGAACCCTTCTCAGAGACCCTCACCATTATTCCATTGACTCTAGAGCACAAATCAAATAAACAACTTGTGTCTGGTCATTCCAAACTTGACCTCTAACCCCTACCAACCCCTACAGACCTTATCCTGTTTTTCTCCAAGTTCCTTGTCTACATTTATTTACTTTGATGGCTTTTTTTTTTTGGTCAGTTGTAGGACTTGAACTCAAGGCTTGAGCACTGTCCCTGAGCTTTTTGCTCAAGGCTAGTGCCTTAATTCTGGTGATTAATTGGGAATAAGAGTCTTATAGACTTTCCTGCCCAGGCTAGCTTTGAACTGCGATCCTCAGATCTCAGGCTTCTGAAGTAACTAGGATTACAGGCATGATCCACCAGCACCTGGCTTTGATGACTTTTAATTCCCCTGCCTAATATTAAAATAATTTCATGTAGTCTATACAAGGTTAAAGGAGTCATTTTCTGCATTATCCAACGTTCAACTTTAGGCCTAGACTATCTTGATCATAAAGTGAGTATGGTAGGTAGCACAATGCCTCTCCCAAAACAGCTGTCCATTCAGCTAGGTGCTAGTGACTCATGCCTGTGATCCTAGCTACTCAGGAGTGTGAGATCTGAGGATCATGGTTTGAAGCCAACCTTAGGCAGGCAAGTCTGTGAGGCTCTTATCTTCAGTTAACTACCAAAGGCCAGAAGTGAAGCTGTGGCTCAAGTGGTAGAATGCTAGCCTTAAACAAAAAAGGTAAAGGAAAGCACCCAGGCCCCGAGTTCAAGCCCCAATACCAGCACACACACAAAAATTATACATGTAGGGCTGGGAAGGTGTCTCAGCGGTAGAGTGCTTGCCTTGCATGCATGAGGCCCTGGGTTTGATTCCTCAGCACCACATAAGCAGTAAAAGCCAGAAGTGGTGCTGTAGCTCTAGTGGTAGAGTGCTAGCCTTGAGCTGAAGAACTGAGGGACAGCGCCCAGGCCCAGAGTTCAGGCCCCATGACCGGACCCAAAAAAAAAAAGATGTGAGCCAGACTCCTCTTGTTCGGAACTCTACGATAATAAATTTGTTTTGTTCTAAGCCTAATTAGCCTGTGATGATTTGTTACATAAGCAATAGAAAACTCATATAAAGATCAAATGATCTTACCCTTCTTTGTGCCCCCCTACACTGGACATCTACCTGACCTCTTAAATCAACATCTTCTGAGTCCCAAATTTCATGTGGGTACTTACCTAGGATTGCCTCAATAGCCAATGTTTAATTCTTCAAATAGCCAGAGCTTATGGATACAAAGTCACTTCTAATTTCTTTTATCCCCTACATGCCAAGTTATAATGGATAACTTTCCAGATTATTCCAGTAAGAACTAGAAAAGAGAAGTCCCTTCCTCATCCATCATGCATGTCTCCATTGGGGAGCAGCCCCTGCTTTGCCTCTATGGAAAGCCATTTCTGTTTCTCTTCCCCAAACAGGGCCTCTCTGTGATCATACGTGAGACACAGCAGAGATCAAACAAAGAGGGGGCTTATTCTTGCCCTCTTAGTAGAGCTGAACGAATGATCTGAGAAATTAATTATGTTCCTTGACCAAAATCATTCCATCTCAGTTCACTGAGGCAAAGCCAGTCTGGATGAAGGATGGTGAATATCCCCTGCCTAACTCATCCTTCCAACCAATTTTTGTTCATTTCCAAAAATGAGTAGTTCATGCCACCTTCCCAGTCGCTTCCCAGGGCCTGGTGGATGAAGTCCAGATTTGGAAGGCAAGGCCCTTGTATGGGTTCCGATTCCTTTCCAATTTCATCACCTCCAAAATCCCATAGCGTACTATCATACTACACCACTTTCAGTTCTCCACTTCTAGGGCTTTGCTTAAATTAATACGCCTATAGAATTCAAACGTTCTCTCACCCTAATCCTCAAGCAATGAAAATGTTCCCTTTCCTCGAAATTTAACTTAACTGTTGTCTCCTTCAGAAAGCCTTCCTTAACTTTCTATCTGAGGACTTTATTAGTCCCTTAGCTCTGCATTCTCTTAAGAATTTGCACTCCAGGGATGTGGACATCTGAGCAGTAACCTGGCTGCAGGGTCTCCACAGTCTGGGACTGACCACTTCCCTGCCACACCTGCAACTTGAGATGGACACTTAATGGCAGAAGCCAGCACCTGTTCTGTCACTGCCTGAAAGGGAAACCTGATCTGGCAATTCCAGACTTTTCTCTGCCTCTCATCAGAGAAATTCTGATCAGTGTTTTGGCCCTCTCCACTTCAGGCCCTCCCAAAGTCTGCCTGTTCCCTTCAATCCATACACTTTCGGGTTCTTTCTCAATAGATTAGATTTGTATTGCCCACTAAACCTAAAGTTTCATCATTAGCAACAGAATTGCTAGCACCTTTCTAGAAAGAAAGAACCATTTAAGCTTCAAACACTCTCCAGGTGAGAACTATTTACAGCCCATTCTTTTCGCACCGTTGGAAAAGCAACAAAAATGGAAACGGCTCCATCTCCAAGTCAGCCAGTAATGAGGACGGGTGCAGCAAGTACTGGGTCAAGGATTTTTGCAAGCTGCCCGCTTCCCCTCGTGGCTGTCCAGGCAGAGGTTGGGGCTTGGGCTGAGCCACTCAGCCCCAAGCCCCGAGCCACTCAGCCCCAAGCCCCGCAAGGAACGCGGTGGGAAGACTACAAGTCCCAGGTTGCCTCGCGGTGACCGGCAAAAGAACTACAAGTCCCAAGCAGCCTCACGGCGGCAGCTAGAAGACGTGGCATTGCGCTGCGCCCGCGCCGACCGGAAAAACGGGAGGTGGCCGGGCGGAGGGCTGGAGCCATGGCAGCCAAAGCGGCAGGTGGAGGGCGTTGGGAAGTGGTGAAGAAGAGCCGGCGGCCTAGGGCCGGCGGCGGTGGTCGAGGTGGCGGCGGGGACCGTCGGGCCCTCGGGGAGGCGAACGGAGTGTGGAAATACGACCTGACCCGTGAGTACCGGCCGCCGCCCACCTGGGCCTGCGGGGCGGGACGGGCGTGGCGAGCTGCTCGCGATCCCGGTGCTCGCCTCGCCCCTCGAGGGCCTGCGTCTGCCGGCAGATCCCCCGGCCACCTGGCAAATGGCGCACGGGGAGTGGCCGTCCTCTCCGCACACAAGGGTGGAGGGAGCCCCAGCGAGGCGGACTCCTGGTCCAGGGTCGCGTGTCGGAGTGGACTGGGATTCAGGCTCCAGCTGCACGCTACCCTCCCAGCTGTCCGGGCCCTCGCCGGTCCCCGGGCTGAGCGTCGGGCGGAGGCATGGCTTCTGGATGCTACACCATGCCTCTCAAGGAGCCCGCAGGCCGGGACGGGACGGACAGTAACCCAGCGAAAGAACACACTCAGCACCCACCAGGAGTTAGTCCCAGTTGGCATAGGTGCCCTCGGTGTCCCGAGGAGTGGAGAAAGTTTGCTACTTGTTGATTATAGA